ACAAACATTTTGTGGATGGTATTATATTGTAGCTCATATAAAGCCTCTTTCAGAAAATGTGTTGTTGGGGATTCTGTAGAACCAATTTCCGAGATATACGATTTTTATAGTTATTTAGAGAGATAGATAGATAGATAGATAGATAGATAGATAGATAGATAGATAGATAGATAGATAGATAGATAGATAGATAGATAGATAGATAGATAGATAGATAGATAGATAGATAGATAGATAGATAGAATAGATAGATAGATAGTGATAGATAGATAGATAGATAGATAGATAGATAGATAGATAGATAGATAGATAGATAATGATAGATAGAGATAGATAGTGAAGATAGATAGATAGAAGATAGTATAGATAGATAGATAGTAGATAGATCAGTAGATAGATAGATAGATAGCTAGATAGATATAGATAGATAGATAGATAGATAGATAGATAGATAGATAGATAGATAGATAGATAGATAGATAGATAGATAGATAGATAGATAGATAGATAGATAGATAGATAGATAGATAAGATAGATAGATAGATAGATAGATAGATAGATAGATAGATAGATAGATAGATAGGATAGATAGATAGATAGATAGATAGATAGATAGATAGATAGATAGATAGATAGATAGATAGATAGATAGATAGATAGATAGATAGATAGATAGATAGATAGATAGATAGATAGATAGATAGATAGATAGATAGATAGATAGCTAGATAGATAGATAGATAGATAGATAGATAGATAGATAGATAGATAGATAGATAGATAGATAGATAGATAGATAGATAGATAGATAGATAGATAGATAGATAGATAGATAGATAGATAGATAGATAGATAGATAGATAGATAGATAGATAGATAGATAGAAGATAGATAGATAGATAGATAGATAGATAGATAGATAGATAGATAGAATAGATAGATAGATAGATAGATAGATAGATAGATAGATAGATAGTAGATAGATAGATAGATAGATAGATAGATAGATAGATAGAAGTAGTAGGTAGATCGATAGATAGATAGATAGATAGATAGATAGATAGATAGACTTAGATAGATAGATAGATAGATAGATAGATAGATAGATAGATAGGATAGATAGATAGATAGAGATAGATAGATAGATAGATAGATAGATAGATAGATAGATAGATAGATAGATAGATAGATAGATAGATAGAGATAGATAGATAGTAGATAGATAGATAGATAGATAGATAGATAGATAGATAGATAGATAGATAGATAGATAGATAGATAGATAGATAGATAGATAGATAGATAGATAGATAGATAGATAGATAGATAGATAGATAGATAGATAGATAGATAGATAGATAGATAGATAGATAGATAGATAGATAGATGATAGATAGAGATAGAAAGATAGATAGATAAATTACATTTTTATTCATAAATTTTGTAGGGTATCATAATGTCGGCCTCGACCAATTATAATTGTATAAATATAACTATATATAAAAAGAAAACAATTTAAATTAAAAATGTACTTAAAAAAGATTTACCATAGCCGAATATAGTTCTCTCACTTGTTTTAATCAATATGTTTTTAATGTTTGAATTTCAGAAAATGAATAAATATTTAGAATCAGGAAAAACACTTACAAATTGAGGGAAAGCGCCGTATTTAATCTTTACTTAAATATTTTTACATTTCCAACTTTATAAAATCAATTGCACAGCAGTTCGAATTATAGAATTGACATTTTTTAAGCATTTTTAATTCGAATAAAAACTGGTAAGAAAAAGCAGGTGTTAATAATTTTAAGCTATAAAAACAAATTCAATATCTTAAAATGTATATTAAAAGACAAATTTTAAATAAAAATTGTTAAACTCATGTGGCAAGGAAAAAATTCTTAAAATTTACAATTTAGTAACAAAGATTCGTCGTAACCAAAAGCAGAAAAAATTAAACCAGAAATCTAAAAGAAACTTTGTCTTAAAACCAGTACAATATACTTACGACCGAAAGACAGAAAGACGCACAGACAGACGTTATTAGGCAATCAACCCCATGCCACTTTACAAACGGCCTTGTGCCACTCAAGCAGAAACAACAAACTACCAACATAAAATAACAAGTAGTAGTTGCAGATTTTTTTTGGCTGTAACATTTTCGGTTGTTTTTGGCCAAAAACACAAACAAATACTTACTAGAATTTGGCAGTTATAATAAATTTTAAGTAAAACAACATTCAAACGAGAAAAATCAAAAAGAATCAGAACTACAAACAAAAACAAACAACAATTTATAATGCATTTAATAAAAATAAACAAACAAAAATAAATAAATTAAACTGAATTAAATGAAATATATAAAATGTTGTGTTTCATTAATTAATAATAAAAAGGAAAGAATAATTTATGTGAATTAATTATAAATTCGTTTATTAGAAATTATTTTATACACACTATTATGACTCAATTGTTTACAAAAAAAAAAAAAAAAAATAA